CAACAAGAGTCATAAGTCATATGTAGTTCACACTTTGAAGTCCATAAAACTTGGTAAGAGCAGTGAAGCATTATGGCTTCTGAAACCAAATGGCTGTCAATAGGGAAATTTAGAAAAAAGAAATCTACATAAATATAGTATGTGAGAACTGCATAGTCTAAGAAATTGTGTTTTCCAAAAAGAACATGTACACATAAATATAGTATGTGAGAACTGCATAGTCTAAGAAATTGTGTTTTCCAAAAAGAACATGTACACATCTGGTCTGCATCACGGGAGGATGTTCCAGAAAGATTTTCAAATCCATAGAGTTCAAGAAACAAAGAATGATTATCAAGAATGAGTTGAACCTGACATTTTTTAGAGAGGAGTTGTTGTTTTTCAGGAGTAACTACATATGGAGAATATTAGGCAAGGCATGCATTATGTAAATTTTGCCATTCTTTTATTTATTTATTTATTTTTTGGTCCAGTCATGGGGCTTGAACTCTGGGCCTTGGCGCTGCCCCTCAGCTCTTCAGCTCGAGGCTAGTGCTCTACCACTCTAGCCACAGCGCCACTTCTGGCTTTTTTCTTTTTGCTTATGTGGTGCTGAGGAATCGAACCCAGGGCCTCAGGCATGCAAGGCAAGCAGTCTACCACTGAGCCACTTTCCCAGCCCCCCATTCTTTTATTTTTATAGACCTCTTCTGTTCCCAAGTCTGGATGGGTTACTCACTTGCTTTAGCCTTAACTTAAGAATTGCCTTTCTTGGCCTAGTATTTTCTTAAATATGACTTAGATTGGATACATGGACTGCTAAAGAGCATAGTGAGAAATAAATTTCAGCCTTTGAATTCTCAATTGACTATTGAGTACTCTTTTCCCTATATTCAAATCTAAAACTTTTGGTGGGAATATAGGAAAAAGAAGCACTTGAGTTAATTACAGATTTAGGCAATAAATTTTATAAATATCTAAACATGTGATATGTGTTATAAATAGTACATATCCCATATATACAATTATGTTATAGGTAATACATAGTGTATATAGATGCCTTATTGTATTCTTGCATATATTTTATATATTGTATTGGCACATGCCCATAGTCTTTATGTAACTCTGTATATAGTCAATTGGAGGCTCTATAGAGCTAAATTGTATGTTCAAATATATGATATAATTAAATTAATTCTGATAAGATAATTGAAGAGTGTTGTCAATAAAATTTTAAACTCAAAGCAGTGAAATGTGACTCAAATGAGCTGTAGTCCTGTGAGCTATGCTAAATGGACTGTAGTCCTGTGAGATATGCTAAGTTTAGATAGGATATTTAGGGAGTTAATTTATATATGAATATTGAATTTATATTAAATAAATAGGATGCTGCCTTTCTGAAAAACTGCTTTGTAAGGCTTAAAAATCCATGATAATAATAATGATGACAATGGTGGTAATGAGGCAATTTATGTTGAGTTGTTTAGTTTCTTTAATTTTAATTTTTTGTATGTTATTGGAGAGAAATTCTGTTTCCAGCGATCTGTTTCTAAAATTTCAGGTTATCAACCTAAACTATGGAAAGGAGATTTAAAAGATTTAAGAAGGGATGGTTTACCTCTGAGGACCACTGCATTTTTAGATACGGCAGGCAAGAGTCCATTCTGTAGTAAGTTGTTAACATTTTTAACACATAGCAAATTATTTATTCTTCATACACTTTTCCATTTATGTAAAATATTATTTTAAATCTCTCAACTTTTATTGTGCTTATCAAAATATGGACCACTTGCACAAATTGAACAGGTCTGGATTATTTTTAGGTTAAAAACCCCCAAAATTTATCAAAAAGTTATTAGATAAAATGAACAGGATTCTGTAATATTTTCCAAAAGAAACAATCAAAATCATACCTGAATTAGCATGAATATCATCCCTTTCCTGGAGTTATTAGCGAATACAACATGTTACACATGTAGATGTCTAAATTGTATAGCTGTATAAATCTATATACCTGCCAACACCCATTTGAGAACTTAAACTATATTTCTAACCAAGAAGAAATAAGGGCTGGGAAGGTGGCTCAGTGGTAGAGCACTTGCCTTGCATGCCAGAGGCCCTGGGTTCGATTCATCAGCACCACATAAGCAAAAAGAAAAAAGCCGGAAGTGGCGTTGTGGCTCAAGCGGTAGAGCGCTAGCCTTGAGCTGAAGAGCTTAGGGACAGTGTCTAGGCTCAGAGTTCAGGCCCCACGACCAGACCCCCCCAAAAAAAAAGAAATAAAGGTGATGACCATCCTAATACGTTTAGGCTTCGATAAGAGGAAAAAAGTAATATAGGAAACTCATATAAATGTGCTCAATAATTTAACGAAGAAAGTAGTAAAGAAAGCAGTTACTGTTTAGAGATGAAAAGATAGGACTATTTGATAAAGAATAAAAGTTCTACTATGTAAAGAATCCTTCCTTCCTTCCTTTCTTCCTTCCTCATCCTTCCTTCCTTCCTTCCTTCCTTCCTTCCTTTCTTTCTTCCTTTGTTTCTTTCTTTCTTCCTTTCTCTCTTTCTTTCTCTCCCTTCCTCCTTCCCTCTCTCTCTGTCTTTCTCCCCCTCCCTCTCTCTTGTAGTACTGTGGATGGATCACAGGGCAAGGAGCTTAAGTACTCTTTCATATAAACTATACTCCAGCTTTCAGCATGTTTTAAAATTTATGTTTTTGATGTAGAGCTTCACCAACTTTTCCAGGCTGTGTCTTGAACATGATTTTTCTCTCTCCATCTTGGGATCCTAGTTAGGTAACAATTGACTATTCCCCAACTCTCACCTCTTCCTTCTACTGCTGAATTTTTACTGGAATACACTTTTCACTATCAATTTCTATTAGTCTTTTGTTTTTGCTTGAAAATACCTTTATCTTTCTTTCACTCAGACATGAAAATACAGTTTGAGATAGTTTTTTTTTGTTAAAAGTGATTTATGTTAAGCACTTCAAAAATACTTCTCTTTCTTTCAGATAAATTTTCTTTTATTTTCCATTTATCATCAGTCTAATTATCCCCTGAATTAAATACATACTTTCTATCTGTTTTCATTAAATGTTTGCTTTATTTTTATTTTCCAGTATTAGCAGTGTGCTCAGATTTGTATTAAATTTGATGAAAAACAGCCATGTGCTAGTGGCTCCTACCTGTAAATCTTACCTGAACTACCTCACTCAGGAGAATAAGATCTGAGATTCGCAATTCAAAGCCAGCCTGGACAACCAAGTCCATGAAACTCTTAACTTCAATTAGGCATGCAAACTCCCCTCCCCCCACAAACAACAACAACAATCCCACAAAACACCTGTGTTTCAAGTGGTAGAGTGATAATCTTGAGGAAAAATTAACCCTCAGGTTAACTTTTGAACAGCACCCGGGCTGTTTAAGTCCCAGAAGTGGCACACACAGAGGCACAGACAGAGGCACAGACATGCACATACACTCACACACACAGGAAAAAAGATGACAAAAATGGTGTTTGATCATTAGATATTCTAGACTTACTTTGATGTAGAACATTCTTCTTTTTTTTTTTAAATACCATACAGAGGAGTTACAATTACATGGGCAAGGTAATGAGTACATTTCTTATCAAGCATTGTTGCCTCCTCCTTTGTTGACCCTTCCTATCCTTTCTCATCTCCAATACCTCTCCCCCCACGCCAGAGTTGTAAAGTTCTTTTTTCGACATAGTATCTTGTAATCTCATTGTTGCAATGGGTCCACCCGTATCCCTATTTAAACAATTTGTTTTTTCCCTTCCCCTCCACAAATTATACCAACATCAAATACAGTAAAAGCATGGGTTATACCGTGGAGGAGGGACATACAAAGCAACAAAGAAATTATCTTATATATATATTTGTTAGAAACAATTTGCAAGAAAGAAAAAAATATTTGAATGCCTACTAGGGGACCTATGTTTCTTTGGGCCTGGCTTAC